AGTATGTCAATATTTATAAAGTAAATGTTAAAATTAATAATTATGATATAAATAATATAACATATTTGCCAAAAAAATTTTGTGTGTGTGTACAATTCAAAATCTAGATTCCAATTTACAGATTAAAAGATTTTGAAATTCATACTATATAGATTTTTATAATAAATTTTCTTAAAAAGTTTCTATTAGTAAATAATTTAATATTTTATCTAGAAAATTATTAACAAAAATAAACTTTCACTTAACATTAGAATGTTAACTTATGCGTTCTACGTAGATTCATGCAATTTGATAATCCAATTAAAATAAAATAGGATTAAAAAAATATAAATGAATTTAGAAAAAAATTTATAAAATATAAAAGTAGAACAGTTTGCATTATATAGAAGCAAAGTGTAAGCCTCTGAAATTACCAAGTATGAGGAGGATAATAATTATTTAGCACGATTTAAGAAGATAAAGGTGTAATGACAGCAATTATAAGAAGATAAGTTGTTTTATATTTTTAAATAATGTCTTTATTATGACAATATCTATTAGTTACATCTCATGAAGATAATGCATTAAATTAAATTAAAATTTAATCAAACTATAAAAAACCCAAGCCATAAAATAAGAAATACTTAATTTATACCAGGAGTTAGGTTGTACGGACACAGAATACGAGATACGGAACGGACGGGATATATGAAAATAAATAAACAATATTTATAATAAATAAAAAATAAAACAAAAAAATACTTAATTTTTTATTTTAATATATTTATAATAAATAAAAAATAAACAAAAAAAATACTTAATTTTTTATTTTATATAATTAGTTTAAATGTAAAATTAAAATTAAAATACATTAAAACCCAAACTATAAAATAAAAAATATTTAATTTTTTTATTTTAATGATTTACCCTTGATGTATGGGTAGTCTTATATACCAAAAGTTTAGGTGTACAGATACGCGGACACGAGATATAAGAACATAGTGAGAAAATATATTAATAAAATTAATCATTATAATAAAATAATAAACATAAAATATTTAATTTCTTATTTCAATATAATTTAGTTAAATTCTCAAAATTATTATCACTATTGAAAAATATATATTTATCTATATAATATAAAAGCAAGATAGTTTGTTTTACATGGAAGCCAGATGTAAGTAGCACAGTTTGCCACTTGGCATTATTTTGAATTATAGAATGACTGATATTAGAATTCACGCAATTTAGCACAATTTTAAAAATTATAAAAAGATCAATTGTTCTATATTTTCAAATACTCCCTCAATCAAAATAATATCTATAAAAAGATTAAAAGATTATCTCTAGCATTTAATTTAATACATTAATATAAATTTATTTCTTCTTATAAAACAATTAATAAGTAATCCACACACTTAAAAAGATTGTGAATAAATAATATATTACTATTAAATAAACAATATATAAGCAATTTAGAAAATATAAATTAAAACGTGTGGGATACGACAATTTTTTTAAAAAATAGGACATCCACAACAAGCTACACTAAATAAGTAATACATTAATATTTTAAATAAATAAACATTAATTTATAATAAATTATAAACATGAAATAAAATAAAAACTTAATTTCTTATATCAATGACACAAAAAATATTTAAAAATACTTCATTTTTTATTGGTAATAAAAAAATATTGGTTGATTAGCTTAGTGTATAGAGTAGTCTCATATATCAGGAGCTGAATCGCATAGAAACGAGACACGAGATACGGAACGTACGGGATATGATAATTTTTAAAAAAGATAGGATATTCACTCGCTTAAAACACACTACACTAAATAAGTAATACATTAATATTTCAAATAAATAAACAAACATTTATAATAAACATAAAATAAAAAAAATACTAAATATCTTATTTCAATGACATAAAAGCAAATTAAAAAAAAAAAAAACTTCATTTTATTGGGTAATAAAAAAATCTTAGTTAATTAGCTTGCTGGTATGGAGTAATCTCATACACCAGGAAGCTAGGTGCAACCAAACACAAGACACGATATTATAAGAACGTACGAAATACGATAATTTTAAAAAAAGTTAGGAGCATCTACACGGCTTTAGAACCAATACACTAAAATAAGTAATAGATTAATATTTTAAATAAATAAAAAATCATTATAAAAATTATAAACACAACAAATGAAAAAAAAACACTTTATTTTTTATTTTAATAAAAAACCTTGTTGATTTTAGTTAGTTGTTGATTAGTTTAGTGTATAGAGTAGTCTCATATACTAGGAGCTATGTTACATGAAAACGGAATACGATAATTTTAAAAAAATGTAGGACATCTACACGTTTAGAACATAGTACATTAAATAAGTAAAACATTAATATTTTCAATAAATAAACAATCATTTATAATAAATCATAAACATAAAATAAAAAAATATTTAATTTCTTATTTCAATGACACAGAAGCAAAGTAAAAAAAAAACACTTTATTTTTATTGGTAATAAAAAACAACTTTGGTTGATTAGCTTGATGTAAGGAGTAATCTCATATACCAAGAGTTAGGTTGTACGGACACAGGACACTAGATGCGAGAAGGTACGAATACAACTATTTTTAGAAAAGGTCGGACATCCACGCGCTTAAGACATAACACACTAAATAAGTAATAAATACATTAATGTTTCAAATAAATAAATAATCATTTATAATAAATCACAAACATAAAATAAATAAAAAAAATACTTAATTTCTTATTTTAATGATACAAAAGCAAATTAAAAAAAAAACACTTTATTTTTATTGATAATAAAAAAAACCTTGGTTGATTAGCCTAGTGTAAGGGTTTGTCTCATATAATAAGAGCTAAGTTGCACGAACATGAGACACGAGATACAAGAACGTACATATATCACAATTTTTAAAAAGTAGGACATCCATATGCTTAGGACACACTACACTAAATAAGTAATATATTAATATTTCAAATAAATAAACAAAATAAAATTATTTATAATAAATCATGAAACATAAAATAAAAAAAATATTTAATTTCTTATTTCAATAGTTTAAAATCTAAAAATTATTATCATTATTGAAAAATATACTTATAATGTGTTGCATTTTTTTATGTAGGGCATACCATGCATGACTTTTACTATTGCATTACGCTAATGAAAAGTTTCACATGATACTTAGAAGACAATAATCTTAGCATCACACTTTTTTCGGCATATCTCAGTAAGAATACAATTTATCATTTTAACATTATTAATTTTACTATTTTTGAACGATGTTATAAAATATTAATTTCATCTTATAATATTACCCACGCATCGTGCTGATTATAAGGGGAAAAAAAAATTTATATTTTCAGATAATAATGATATAGGAGGAAAAAACTAATTAATAATTAAACAAGAAAAAACTATTTATTTTGGAATAAGAAAGGAATATAAGGGAAAAGAATTTCGATAATTTTTTCTTCAAATTAGAAAGAAAATAAAAAAATATAAAAATAAATTTGTAGAGAAAAATTAATTTTACTTTTCTTTTATATCTAAAAAAAATAAGTAACAAGTTTTTCGAAAAAAATTTAGTCCCTTCTTATTTTTTTGATTATTCATTAATAAAAAAGATACAAAAATAAATGAAAAAAAATACTTCATCACGCGATACAGGAACATACGCGATACGATAATTTTTAAAAAAGTAGGAGATCCACACACTTGGGACACACTACACTAAATAAGTATAATACATTAATATTTTAAATAAATAAATAATCATTTATAATAAATCATAAACATAAATTTATAATAAATCATAAACATAAAATAAAAATATTTAATTTCTTATTTCAATATAATTAGTTAAATTCTCAAAATTATTATCACTATCGAACAATATATTAATAGTGTAGGTGCATTTTTTTGATGCAGGTGATACTAGGGGTGTCAATATGGATCACGACACACGAACACGATTCGCATAACACGAGAAATAAATGAGTTAGGGTTAAAGTTAAACGAGTTCGTGTCATAGACGAGTCACCCATTTATGACACGATTATAAATGTGTTGTGTCGGGTTAGGCGAGTGACCCGTTTATTTAAGAGTAAATAGATAATTTTAGTGTTAGATATAAATACTCCAACTAAAACCTATTACCACCTAATTTTAACTTTTAATTTTAGTGTTAGATATAAATACTCCAACTAAAACCTATTTAAATTTTATTGCTGTATTGCTTTTTTATTTTAATTATAAATCTTGAAGAATTTATACATTTTACGTGTGAAAGTTTATTTTTAAATATTAATGGAGTTAAATAGGTTAAGAGTTAAAATACATTAAGCGGGTTAAGTGTGTCATATATAGGTCAAGACATCCACTTAATTTATTTATTATATTAAGCGGGTTACACGAATTGTATATGGATCAATACGACCATTTAACCTGTTTATGATATTAAGTGGATTAAATATGTCGTATTCGTGTCAATCGCCTAATTTTCGTGCTGTGTTTGTGTTAAAATTATAAAAAATTATTTCATATTTAAATATTGCTCCGCACATCGCACGAATTCTAACACTAATTAAGTAGAAATTATAAGTCACAAAATGACATTTATAAAGCTTCGTTCATATAATTAGGTAGGATAAAAAGAGAAATATTTTCAACTCAAATATTTGAATTATATAATTAATTTGTTTGATTAAAAAATATTTTATTAGAAATATAATGAGATGTGATGCATATACATGATAATGTGTTAATAGTACACTAATTAATTAAAATTAAATTAATTTATTTTTGATGATATGAATTTTTATTAAATAATTGCTATCTCTAAAATCTTTATTTTTTTTAGTGGTTACGTTGGCTAGCAATTGACAAGAGTATTGATTTGTTTTTCTTTCTCATGATAAGTCAAGAGTAATTTTTATATTCATTGATTGGATTCATAGACGACGATAGACCTAATCTAGGTAAATTTTTGATATAGACAAGTTTTTCCGGAAAACAAAAACATGTTTGGTAGATTACAAATATTAAAAATTTCGAATTTCTCCAAATAAATTAGTCTAAAGATAATTTTCGTTTTTTTGCCCCCCTAAATCTGTTCTTTTCCTTGTTGGATTATTGCATCTCATTGTCACGCTGTCAGTATCTGCATCCTATCTTCTCTTCAATCATTTCCGCTCTTTAAATTGAAATTCAGTTTAGTACCGAAATTTCTCTTTAATCTTTTCAATGCATCTTCAAACCCAATCTCTCACTGCTAACTTTTCTCTTCTTCAACTCACTCTCACAAAACCCACGGCCAAACTCCAATTCACTCTTCCAAAGCGCCAATTCTCGGTAAAATGCTCTGTTTCCACTGTCTCAGACCCTGCCCATGTGGGTTTCTCCTCCAATGACAAGCCGTCTCCTGCCGAGGTTTCAAGAACCATCATGGAGTTGTCTTCAGTTGGGACTCTTTCTACTTTGACTAACGACACTTGGCCACTCGGTGTTGGTGTTCGCTTTGCCGTTGACGATGATGGGACTCCGGTTTTGTGCTTGAGTGACTCTCGTAACCACATCTCTGTTGACAAGAGGTCTAGCCTTCACGTTCAGGTATTGAAAGCTATTTTGGTTACTTGTTTTAGTAAAATCCTTAGAAACTGTAATTAGTTCGTAGGTTAATCTGAATTTGGTATGGATCAGTTGGAACAGTGTGGAATGCGGACTCCGCAGTGTACAATTCAAGGTAGCCTCCACAAGCCAGAGGACAAGAAGGTTTTGAAGGTAACTTAAGAATGCTCTCTGATAGTAACTTATAATGCTCTCTGATATATATATATATATATATATATATATATATATATATATATTGGCAATTAACTCTTTGATTTTTTTGCATATTGAAATTCAATGGTTTGTATATATATTGGCAATTACTTTGATTTTTATTGCATATTGAAATTCAATGGTTGTCTTCTTATTTTATAAAGACAGTAAAGCATTCTTGTGGAAGTTCTGTTATGATTAACTGGAGACTAATGCATCTCTTGAATCATGCCAATCAATGTTTGTGTTGAATCAGGCATTGAATATGGCATTTTTATTATGATTAACTGGAGAATAATGCATCTGGTGATTCGTGCCAATCAATGTATTCTTTCACAAATTTAAATTCCTATTCGTTTATCCAATCAATTGCTGCCACGAGTGAAAGCTAACAACTTTATTCCGCATATTGAAATTTCGAAAAAAAACTAATTTGGGTTTCAAATGTAAATAATTTTTTTTTTCTATATTGGAACCACTTTAGTTTTTTGATCATCTGGTTTGTTATCTCATATATCCAGTACATGTATCCTCCATGTGGTTCGGTGTATGATTCCATACATTGAAGGGTTTGAGTTGTGTGAACAGCATTTTTGCAAAAGTATAAGGGGAAAACTGCTGACAATAGATGACCCTCCCGTGACTCTCACAACGAGAGGATCCATCTACACTAGGGGCACCCTTTTTATTTTATATATTAACATTGATAAATTATAGAAAAAATAGAGGTCTAACAATAAGATTTTAACAAATTGTTCTTTGGTGAGTTAAGTGAAATTAACTGGAATAAGATGTGCTCAATGGTTTAGTTCACTTCACTTTACTTTCCGAATTCAAATATGATATTTTAGCTCTTTACTTTCTATTTTCTTCTGATGCATCTCGTGAGGACTGGGTGCTAATTTTTGAAAATGTAGGGACTTGACTGTGAAGTACGCTAAACCTCAAGAGAGTTCTAGAAACTTTCCAATTAAAGAAATGCTTTCAAAAGAATACATAGAAAAAAAATTGGTGCTTTATACCTAATCTTGCCTTTATATTAATCATTAGGTCTACATTCTTTTCCACTCTAACATTTATGTGCAAGTTAGATCTAATGTGAGAAGGTACAGGTTGAGGAACCATCCTACCAATGCTCTTATCGCGGGAAATTCTAAATGGTTGATGATATTAAATTTTAGATTAAATGGAAAAGGAGAATTTAGGTTTGGGAAATTGAATTAGGTCTCATTGAAGTGGGAAGGAAAGAAGTTGAAGATTCTGAGGACTCTAAACAGTACCAAGGTACTGTAGCAACAGAAGAAATGATCGCAGCAGCAACCGAGAGGAGGAAGAAGAAGAAGAGAGAGAGAGACAAGAGGAAAAGGAGGCACCTAGTCTTTTCAAATAGAAGTTTTATAATTCAATTATCAAGAACATAAGAAATATAGCTGTCACATAGGCATCTATAGACTTAATATTGAATCCTATTCCTTTTAGGCTTAGAATCCCATAGTAGAAAAGGACTTGCATGGAGCTAATAACCTATTGGTTTTGGGATTAGGAATCCCATGTGAAGAAAGTTCTAATCCAATAGCAAACATGATAGTAAGCAAAAAACTTCCTAAGAATGCTTAATGGAAAGTCCTAACTGTTGCTAAACTCTCAAATTCCCAATTAGAAATTTTATAGCAAGAAGCATGGATTTCATAATTAATAATTAAATAATGATTAAGAATTAAATAAAATGGCTTCCTTGATTTCATTGTAATACTTCATATACAGGCAGCATTGACAGCGTGTGGTAAGTGACACACATGTTACTGTACTTTATATGTCTATAAATAAGATTTGGAGAGGCCAAGCCTCTAAGCAAGTTATTCACGTTGTTATCTTCCTCCCTCTTGATATCAAAGCCAATGTAATGAAACCTCTCAAAGTTCTATTAATAAAACCTCCAGTAGAAGATCAGATTATCCAACTGCGACCATCCATTTGGGTGTATGCTAAGAATTTGCTTCGTTGAGAATCCTGTGCGTCGAAAACTCTGGAAGGTTGGACAACAGTTCTACAGATGCTTTGGAGTCAGAGTAGATGCTTAGTTTGCTACACCGGAGGCTTTATACTTGGGCAGTAGACATGCTCACATTTGCATGATCACACACACACACACACACACACACACACACCATATGAGCTACTAGGTTTTGTTGTTCCTCAACCTGGTTGTGCAACTTAATTCATGCCTATTTTCCTACATATGTTGCTATGATATTGTCTCTTGGCTCATTAGTCTTATTTGCATGTACTCTTTTAAAAAGTGGCGTCAATCAATGTGGAAAAAGAGGTTTGGAGAAGATGTGGACGATGAGCGCATATATAGTATCAACGTGGAGCGGGTACTTCAAATGGAAGACATAATGGAGGTGTTTGTTATTTTATTTGTTTGAGCAATTTTGTCATACTCTGTCCTGGGATGGATAGTTTGTTTGAACTTACCTTTTCCCATGATTAAATTTATGTCTGGAATTTTTTCAGGACGGTGTATGGGTCACTTCATCAGATTATAGAAATGCCAGCCCTGATCCACTTAGAGAGTTTGCAGAAGCAGTTGTTAATGAGATAAATGCCAAAAACATTGAAGATGTTCACCGGTTTTGCAATATATTCGTTGATTTGGATTTCCAGGTTTGCAATGAACCCAGCTTTTTTTCATTCTTGCTGCAATCTTCACATTTTTTGCTCAGCTATTCAGGCTTAGAAACTTGAACCCTTCATCTTATTGCTTGAAAAAAAAAAGAGTGTTGAAAGAGTATTTCGAATTTCTTTTTATGGTTCATTATTTTCAATCTCTACATCACTATATATATACACAAGATTGTTCCAATATAGGAAGAAATGAAAGAGTATTTCGATTTCTTTTTATGGTTTCATTATTTTCAATCTCTACATCCACTATATATATACACAAGATTTGTTCCAATATAGGAAAGAAATCTAAAATAGGAATAAAACCTAAATTGGAAAGCAATAAAACCTAAACTAGAAAGACAATATGACTTTAATTACAAAGATTTCAACACTCCCCCTCAAGTTTGGTGCATAGATATTACTCATGCCCAAACTGCAAACAAAAGGATGAAACAGTTTGCTATTCAAACCTTCGTGAAAACATGGCTAGTTGCCCTCTTTTGAAGCTATATAGGAGACATTTAATAAGGCCTTCAAACTATCTTCTCCTTTATAAAGTGACGATCACATCTCTATGTTGCTTAGTTCGATCATGCTGGACTTGGATTATTCTAATACTGATGGCTGCTTTACTAATCACAAAACAGGATATATTTGTTGGTTTCAACCAACTTAACTCTTCCATTAATCTGCGCAACCATAGGAGTTCACATATTTCCTATGCCATAGCTTTATATTCTGCTTCTGCACTGGACCTTGCAACAACAGCTTGCTTCTTACTTCTCCATGTGACAAGGTTTCCTCCAACAAAAACACAATATCCTGAGGTTGATCTCCTATCATTAAGAGGAACCAGCCCAATCCGCATTTGTATAGCCTGTTATTGTGAAATGGCCATGTTTAGAAAAAATGGCCATGTTTAGAAAATAAAAGTCCTCTACCAGGAGCTGATTTTAAATATCTTAGAATCCGATGCACTGCTTCTAAGTGAGACTCCCGAGGGCCATGCATGTACTGACTCACTAAACTTACAGCATAGGCAATATCTGGTCTAGTATGGGGAAGGTAAATCAACCTCCCGACCAATCTCTGATACCTGCCAACATCAACTGAACTTCCCACTCCAGCTTGAAGCTTATGATTGGCTTCAATCGGTGATTCTGCGGGTTTACATCCCAACATACCAGTTTCTTTAAGGAGATCAAGGATGTACTTTCTTTGAGAAATAAAAATCCCTTTTTCTGATCTAGCTCTGAATCTAGCAACTTCTATTCTAACAGGGAAATATCTCAAACTTTCCCAAATCCTTAATCTCAAACTCCCTAGCTAACAAATTTTTCAGTGATCATTTCTTCTTCATTATTTTCCAGTCATCACTAATATCATCAACATAAACAATAAGCAATGTGCTCTTACTTTATGATGTTTTTAACGAATAAAGTAATGATCACATCGCTCTGCATGTTAACCAAAAGAAAGGCATAGCTTACTCAACCTTTCAAAACCATGCCCTTGGTGATTGCCTTCGCCCATATATGACTTCTTCAGCTTGCAACTTTTCCTCTGGTCTTGTCATCATCCAAAAATCCAGGAGGAAATCTCCATATCACACCTCTTTCTTCAAAATCACCAATGTAGAAAAGCGTTTTTAACCATCAAACTGATGTAATTCCCAATCAAAGATTGGATGCGACTTATATTGATTATTTTGGCTACAGGGGCAAAAGTTTCTGGTAATCAACTCCAATAGGTCTGGACTGAACCCTCTAGCTACCAATCTGCCTTGTACCTCTCAACTGGTAACCATCTGCCTTATGTTTTAACTGTGAACACCCATTTACATCCAACTGGCTTCTTTCCTGGATGGAGGAGTTACAAGAATCCCATGTCTCGTTTTTTGCCAAAGCTTCTCATTCCTCAACCAATTTTGCAGCCTTCCATTTTGAGTCCTGTAATGCTCTTGCAATCCTGCGGTATAAGAAAACAGAAGAAAACAGACAAAACAAAGGCTCTATCAGAAGGGACAGAGCATTAACTAGGAGATGAAAATGGGAGATGGGATGTTTAGTGCATGTTTAACTCTTTTCTAAGAGTAATAGGAATATCAATGGTCAATTGTCCAGAAGTGCTGAAATACAAGATTAGGATCAGAATCATCAGGCTTAGAACTTCACCCGTACTTGTTCGGCTGGGCCCCAGGCCCGCACGGTTTTGTTCCTGGGCCAGGGAACCACCTCCTAGCCCAAAACGCGTCTCAGTAGCTCAAGGCCTGTCACACCTTATGTGCATCACTTCCACCTTGTGCTTAGCTGATGTGGGATTCGCCTAAGGTGTCACACTATGTCTACAGGAAACTCCCCCTGGAAAGGAACGTCATTCATCACCTCTTCCATCTGAAATTTCTCCCCCTGAAGAGGTGATTGGGAAGGAAAATAAGACTCAAATTCCCGAAAGGTAACATCCATACTCACAAAATATTTTCTAGAAGGAGGATGACTTGTATCCTTTTGAGTAGCAAAGTAACCAACAAACACATACTTCAAGGCTCTAGCACTAATTTGCTTAGACCATTCTGATGAACAAACAAACACAACCAAAAGACTTTAGGAGGTACAAATATAAGAGTTTTTTCTTGAAGAACCTCTAATGGAGTTTTAAAATTTAAAAGACGAAGAGGCATCTCGATTGATAAGGTAAGCAGCAGCCAAAAATAGGCATCCCCCCGCAAATATGGTTTGGGAAGATTCATAGTGAACATAAAGAGACCTAGCTACTTCCAGTAAATGCCTATTTTTTCCTTTCCGCGACTCCCATTTTGGAGCACTAGTATTGACACAACTAGTTTTGATGTATAATACGCATTAGAATCTAAATAGGTACGAAAAACTGCATTCATGTATTCCAGTACCATTATCAGTTCTTAGGATTTTAAACATGCGCATCAAACCTGAGTACAAACTCATTCTATGAAGTTCTGAAAAACGAAAAAAACCTTCATTTTTTGTTTTCATCAAATAAACCCAAGTTATCTAGTTACACATCAATAAAAGGTCACAAACCACCTATAACCAGAAAAGAAGTTTTAGTAGGACCCCATACATCAGAATGAATAGTAGCAAAAGGAATCAAGCTTTTATTATTAATTTGAGAATAAGAATGCCTGGTGTGTTTGGCAAGTGCACAAGCATCACATACTAATGAATCGAAATCACACTTAGCAAATAAAGTGGGAAATAAACGTCCTAGAACAGAAAAAGAGGGATGTCCTAATCTCCTATGCCATTGAATAACTTCATGGGAAGGATTTCTAGAAGTTCCTAATAAAGCTTGACCGGTACCCGAATTTGAAAAACGACAAACGTCATCCAACAGATACAGTCCATCGCGCAAGCTACCACTGCCAATGATACAGTCCATCGCGCAAGCTACCACTGCCAATCGTTCTCCCCGTGTTCAGTTCCTGAAATATACAATGAGTAGGGTAAAAGGTTACTTTGCAATAAAGCGCTTTTGTGATTAAGCTAACAGATAACAGATTAATAGGGAATCTAGGGACATGAACAGAGGAGAGTTTAATATTGGAAGTACAGTTAATAGAACCTGCGCCAGCAATGGGTACTAAGGAGCCATTCGCAATGCGAATTTTTTCTGTGCCTTGATACTTAGAATATGTGAGGAAATGTTTTATAGAGCCTGTTGTATGTTTATTTGCTCCTGAATCGTCTATAACCAAGAGGGTTTTTGCAATTTTTGCAAGAAAGGTAAGAAAAGCATTACCTGAATAACCAAAAATTAGAAGCTGCGAGTCTGAGTGAGGAAGAATCAAGCTTGTGACAATGTATAGGGCTGATTTCCTTATCAGAAAAGCTACCAGTAGTAGATGTTTCCCTCCAATAAAGCTTCCGCATCAGATATGTGTGCCTGCAGTCAGAAGAACTGACCCGCTTTCCTCCAATTAGTTGGGTGTCCATGTAATTTCCAGCAGAACTCCTTAGTGTGCCTGTTCTTACCACAATAGTCACAAAATAATTGATCTCTGTCTGAAGAGCCGTTCTTGGCAGCTTGTATATGTTCACTTGCAGAATTAGCAATCAACCCTGCTTTATCAATTGTAGATCTGTGAACCATTGCATTCCTCCAAGTCTCCTCTTACTGTTCAAAAGAATATGCTTGTCGCAAGGAAATGAGTATGCTTGTCGCAAGGATGGAAAAGGATCTCGTCCAAGAACTTGGACTCGAATCTAATCATACTCGTTATTTAGGCCAGCTAGAAAATCATTCACATGTTCTACTTCAATTAAATTCTGAACTTGAGCCGCATCATCAATACATTTTGCTTGAAAGTCTTGGTAATAATCCAGTTCTTGCCATAACCTACTACGTTTAGCAAAATACTGAGCGACAGTCAGATCTCCCTGTTTGGTTTCATGAACTTTCTATCGCAATTCATACCTCTGAGCATAGTTTCCAGTTTGCGAGTAAGTCAGTGCAGCGGCATCCCATATCTTCTTAGCTGTATCAAGAAGTAAATAGCAAAATAAGCCTCGGGAAATAGTTGGGTTGCATGGAATTTATTTTTAACCAAGACATAATAAAGAATTCTCGGATTTTCCATTTGTTAAAGCCTGGAATCTGTTCGAAATTGGTTTTAGTTGCCGCACCATCAAGGTATCCCTGCAAACCTCTTGCTTCAAGAATAATAAGTAAGCAAGATCGAGACCAAGCCAGGTAGTTTGTTCCATCTAACTTCACCGGACTAATCTGAAGAGAGGGGCTCTCTGAGTGAAAACCCATATCTACCTTTCTTCCGTCAGCCATATTGTCAGAAAAAAAAATTTTTAAGCGGCAGTGGCGAAGAACTAGCAGCGGCAGAAATAAACCAAAAAAAAGAAAAAATTGCAAAAAAGCAAAACTGGTGCTGAAGAACCAGCAAGGGAAGAACGTCACAACAAATCGAGGCCGTCGGAACAAGAAACGTTGACGGAGCTTGCCGGAAACAGCCGCACGCGCCGGCGCGTGAAGAATGGCCGAAAACTTCTGGCGGCGCGTGTGCACACGTGCGTGGTCGGACGGCGACGCGGCTTGGACGGAGGGCCAATTGGCGGTCCCTCTTCCTTCTGAGCTGGGTGGTGACGGCCAACTCCTAACTCCGGCGGCACTGTGTATATCTCAGCCCTGTTTCAAACCGAAACCGTTGCCGAAAAATTCACGGCAATGGCTCTGACATGATTTGAGGTTTTCGATTTCTTTTTTTGGTTCATTATTTTCAATCTCTACATCACTATATATATACTACAGATTGTTCCAATATAGGAAGAAATTAAATAGGAAAATAAACTAAATTAGGAAAGACAATAAACCTAAACTAGGAAAGACATATAGGAAGAAATCTAAATAGGAATAAACCTAAATTAGGAAAGACAATAAACCTAAACTAGGAAAGACAATATTGACTTTAATTACAAAGATTTCAACAAAGAGCATTTATCTTTCTTCTTTTTTCCATTTGGAATGATGTCAAAAAAATTCCAGGTTCTGTTGGATATAACAGAAGATAAAGCAAAGATTACTGCCTTTAGAATTATGGGGCAATATGAAGAACTTCTAAATTTTGGGGTGCCATGATTATGCTTATGTTTATGTATGTGACATGTAAGAGTGACAAGTAAAAGTAATTAAATATGAGTTAAAAGATGGAATGAATAACATATGCAAGATATTAAGTTAATAACTGGGGAAAACAGAGAAATAATTGCTTCTCATGTTTTGTCTGCTGTTGTTAGGCGCTTATTGAATTACTTGTAGAGAGGTGGAAAATAATGCAACAGCAGGCTTAAATTTTGTCGTGTAAGAGCTGAAACATTGTGAAATGGCTTTGAGTTAAGATCATGGCCGTGATTCCCACCATTGTTTTTATACAAGGCTTGAGTGTCCATAAACTAATTTGTTATAGGGATGTGATTAAAACTGAATATCCATTTTGAGTTGAGTTGGTATATTGTGTAGCTGCCATCTAAATTTTGGTTACTTAAATTATCATTTGAATGTATAATTAATGATTTCTATAAGATTAACAATTAAATTTTAAATATCATATTAAATATAAGAGATACTTAAATATTATTATGTTTATTCAAAAAAGTACTATATATAAGTTTGTAAAAACTATATTTTATTGAAAATTGGTATATAGATAAATATATTTATAGGCAAATTCAAGTAATATGCGAGTAGGGTTGATGAAATTTTGGGTATGGAGTGGGCAATTTTCATCGTTATGGTAAGTGGTACTTTGAAGCCAATGGCCAAAGAACTTGACCTCGGATAAGTTCATTAGAGACTAGAAGCGTAGAGCTTAATAACCAGATCAAGGTCAGGATCAATTTTCTTTTATCTCTGCTGGGTTCCTCTCTGTCAGTATTGTGTCTTCAAAGCTTTTCTTGAATAATTACTTTACGTAGAAAAAAAAAATTGTAAAAAAATGTGTCAGTTTGCTCTATATTGTAAGAGGCAAGTGTATTCTAGTGTAAGTTTTAAGGGTATTTCCAAATGCAATTTTCTTTAATCTCCATTGGGTTTCTATCTTAAAAATAGTATCTCCAGATCTTTTTTTGAATATTTACTTAACATAGAAAAAAAATTACCAAACATGTCAATTTGCTTTATATTGTGCGATGCAAATGTATTCTAGTATAATTTTTAGTGGTATTTTAGTCATTCTCTAATTTAATTACAACCCTACTGTGAATTTGTGTATGATACATGCCTAAACTTATTGCAGGTTACGACTTCCAAAATCTTCTCTTTTTTCGATTTCTCTGTATTACAAGCTCATCGCATAAAAAAATGCAGTTCCCTCTTATTTCTTTTTTTTTTCTTTTATCTACCAATTAATCGATGTAAAGAACATGTAGTTATTAAAGGCGCGTCTTACTTGAGGCTCAAGGTGCTTGCACCAAATGTCTGTCAGGCGATCGCCTCTGGGTAGAGGTGCGTGCCTTTTTTGCTCTTTTTTTTTGCACCTTGCGCAAGAAAGGCACGCCTTTATATTTTTTTCCTCCGAACAGGTCACCTAGGATTTTTTTTCATTATAAAAGTTGTCCAGTTAGCATCTGTTTATATAAAATAAATAAATAAAATAAATAGAATGCAACATAAACACCAGTGATATGCTCTACGACCTAGCCATCACTCCATCTAGCGGTCACTTCCTGCAATCCAGCTTCTAGCCAGCAGCCATTCAGATATGTTTCTGTTAATTTTTCTTCCTATATTTGCTTTCTATTTTCTTTTTTTCTTCTTTTTTTTCTTTTACATGTTCTTGATTCTACTCCCTATTAAGTTCTGTCTAAACTCCAATATCTTAAAATATAAGTTGTTATGCTGCTGGTTTTGTTTCTGATTTGTGTGTGTTTCTTTTATCATGTTTGTTTTTTATTTTATTTCCCTGGTAACTTAAAATATGATTTTCATGTGTTCTATTATTATTATTATTATTATTTTTTAAATTTTTGCACCTCACCTTGCTTGGGTGCACACTTCCACCTAGAGGCTAGTGCCTCAGTTCCAACAGCCTTTTGCGTCTATTGTGCGTTTAATTACTATGGATGAATATGTGATGCAAGGTCAATTTTTCTGGGGAGTGCAATCCAGGAGTGGTTGTAGGTAGGTAACTTAGGTCTCAAAGGGTGGACATATTTGCAATAGAGAAGAAAATTATTACGGAGGTGGTTACAGCCTCCATGGAGGAGGACCATTTGAAGACACTTGACAAGCCTGAACTGGGTGGATCATCTAATAGAAGATCTACCTATTGCTGATAATATCGAAGCTTGGAAGAAGTGGTTCATGGAAGATGACCTCCTACTGAAATTGGGAGAACTTTGGGTGATTTCTGTGGGATTCTTACCAATCATTATGATACTGTGAGAGAGCTTCAGGACTATGTTGAGTTTATATTTTCATGTGAGTTGCCTATCCATAAGTTATTATTGAGTATTGATGGGGCTTGTTCAATGAGGAAGAATTTTCTTGAGGCACTACAAAGAAATGAAGCAAGCATTTGAAGAGAAGAAAGTAATGTTTCCCATCACTAATGATGTAAAGAAGATGCAGGGAAGATGAATCAGAAGTAATTCAATGTTTTCCTGCAGGTCCGAGGTGATCCATACTTAATTATCAGGAAGTTCTTCCAACATCATTGTCATGGTAGTTGTTGCTAAAGGGACCTCATTGAGGAAGCTGCAACATTGGTGAGTACTGTACAGGGAGGTTGAAATGGCGAAGGGCAAGGAGGTAGTCAAGATAATACCAAAAGCCTAGAAGAATGCTTACCATGGTGGGCAGGAAGGGAGGTTTCTAGATCCCTCCGTGCTAGTCCACAAGCCAAAGTATAAGGTAGCCTTATGTAGAACATTCTAGAACAACCACTCTTCGTCGCAAGTAAAGGAGTTGGAATGGATCAATATGCATCACATGTTAAGGAGGTGGAGCTATGTAATAATAGCCGTAGGATCAAATGAATCTCCACCGTCTATTGAGGAGGTGAAATACCTGTAAATACCCATGGTTGGTAGAACTTAGGAGCATACAGAAAAATACGAGCATTGGTAGGCCTATCATGTTTGACATTCTTTCATTTCCTTGAGACTCCTCCTTGAGCTTATCTTATTTATCCTTTCTTGTTTCACAAGATAATTCTTGTGAATATTGCCTCTGAAACAAAAAATCAGATGCAGAAAGGGCCTTAAATTTTTGTGTAAATTCCTCTCTATTGTCTAATTGAGCCAGAGTTTTATCAGCTCTTAGTGGTTCAGGATCTCTACCTGTTTTCTTGCATCCCACAGCTAATGCGCCCTAAGGAAAATCTTTAACTTTTGCAGTCTAAATGATATCACTCTCTCCTTAAAGGACAAAATGTGAGGCTCTATCAAAACCACTTGAAGCCATGGAATAACTGAGATCGATTGTTTGAAGGCACCTGAGAAGCCAATTTTTCATTAAGAGTAAAATGGACATTGTTTCTATTTGATGGAATTAAAATATGGGAATTACTAAATTAATTTTTGAAGTCACTGGTTCTCTTCTTTTTTTCCTTTTCTGTTCTTTCCATCTTTAGATCTTTTTTCCCTAAGCACTAAGCAGCTAAGCTACTTAAAACATTAAAAAAGAAAGGAAAATTATATATAAGTGATGTGTCCTTACAGTTCATATGAAAAATGTAGGTTACGGAAGCGAAGATGATATGGGTTGATAGGCTGGGTTTCGACATGCGACTCTACTGCCCTCAGAAAGGTGTTTTTGATGTCCGAATTCCTTTCCCAAGAGAAGTGACTGATGTAAAGGGTGCAAAGTCCTCATTCAATGGTATGTCACAACTTGCTTGGGAAGTGGAAAAAAACTATAATATGCCTGATTTTAAGAGGGTGAAACAGTTGAAAAGGATAACATATAGGGGATTGTAAAATAGGATTTTTGTCTCAGGAGTTTTTTGTGAAATAATGTGTTAGGAGTGAGATGGAAATAATTTCTTCTTCAGACAAACAAATCTGATGCTTTTGTGGGTTTAATTTTTCTCACATGCGGTTTAATGATTGAGTTCTAATGAGCTTACTATAATCTCAATTTCTAGTTCTTTATTTTGTTCATTGGATGATCTACTCAGCATAAAAGTATTAGTTTCTGTGGGCTTCTCTAAGCTACTAAACAAGGAATTGGTGGTGCTTGTACTTGTTCAACGTAAAGATTCTTCTATACATTGATTCTTTTATACTAGACATTTTTACAGTATGTTGTAATTAAGAATTACAATAATTAGTTGTAAATAAGAATTGCCATAAATTAAACATATTGATCTTATGTTTGAAGTAAAATGGTAAATATCATATATTACTGTTTAAAATGATATATCACTTAAAACGTATTTTAGATTTTCTTAAACAATAAATAAATGCAAGTTAGTTTTTTATTTTATACTATTAATAAAGCTATAAACAAGTTGAGCCAAGTTGAGCTCTGGTGAGCTCGAGCTCAGTTTATAGTTAGAAAAAAAAAAAATTTGCTCCTTTACGTGCTCGAGTTCAACTTGTTTATTATGAGGCTATTAAGCAGGCTTAAGTTTGGCTCATTAAGCTTATTGAACAAACTTGAATAAGCCTTTTCCGAGCCGAATCTCAAGCAGCTCACAAGCGGCTTGAATCATTTATAGTCCTAACTATTAGGGTATTATAATACTCAGATTTAGATCAAGTCATTGTTTCATTAAAGTTAAGGAATTAATTCTAGAAATCATCTTTAATTTGCATAATTCGTATAACTAATTTTGGTTAAAAGAACATTTGAAATTAATTACAAAAAAGTCATACAGCCATAAGAGTCAGTTGATGAAAGTTATAAGCAGTATTCTCTACATGTTTCACTTGATGTATCCACTCTCTTTGTTTGTTGCTGCTACACATTCTTATCTTTGGCTGAAACAGAGAGCTCAGCATACTGTCCAAACCTTGTGCTGTATATTTCACATCTTCTTGTGCCAAATGGCTATAATTCTGCAAATAGCATCTATACACAGGCACGAAGGCCTCTACGGCCACTCTACACATCTTTAACCTCAACTTGTCATTAGGTACAACCCAATTGCACTGCTTCTCATACATTCCATCCAATGCTTCATTGAATTCCTTTAGGCTCTTCTTCACAGTCAAAGAATCATTACTTGTGTAATCATCTTCTTGGCCTTGGCTGAGAAGAGCAAGTATCTTTCCCCAAGTGTCTTTCAAGTGAAGTGTCATATAATAGTCTTTATACTGCTCGTGACCTCTCACCCAGGACTCACCCATCAAATCTCCAACTTTTGTACCTTTCAAGTTACTGAAATGGCAATGGTTATTCATCATGAAAAGGTATGAAAGTGCCATATCCTCGTATCCCTTTGACAATGTGTCCAAGTGTAATCCAATTTCTTTTATTATGCAATGTATCTGGTTCATGATAAGTGTTTCTTGATATGTTTCATTTTTCCAGCTTTGATGAATTGTTAGAACCTTGATCAGTAATGGCTTGTAATTGTCGCTGAGAAGATGATTACAGTAGTCTGTTACAAAACTTGCCAGTTTAGGAACACTTCCATCTGAAGGAGAAATAGTTTGCCTTTGCAGCTTCACTTGTGATGGAAGTTCCCAGAAAATCTCACAAGCACCATAAACAACTTTCCTGATGAGATTCCTCGTCAAGTGTTGGATTTCAAAGCATTCTTCGCTGCTGAAAAGCCGGTTGAAATCTGTTCTCAAATTGTCTAAAAATGAAAAAATGTCTAACAGCTTAACTAATTTAACAGGATCTTTCTTACATTCTGTAATTCTTGTTCCAAACTCGAGGAAAGAAACGAGTCCTGATTTTGTTGCAATTTCTGCAAAACAACTCTTTCGATCAGTATCAGATCTGAAAACCTCATTGCATAGTTTGTACTCTGCTTCATAAACATTCTTCACAGCCAACTCCAAATGTTTGCACCATTGATCTATGAGACCCTCTATATCTTGGACATCATCTAATTCTGAGAGTGGATTCTCAAGGTAATTCAATTCCAGAGCTTCCAACCTTCTTCTTGCTTTCATGCTTCGAACTTCAACATAAGCTGATATGCACTTGTTAAGCCTTTTGTTCGCATTTAGTCTGCTAATAATAGCCTGAAGCTTCTCCATTGCAGCTATTGATAGAGGCATGGAGTTTTCTGCAAGAAGGCGCTTGAATTCAATTTCAAGTTTATCAAATGCAGCAGACAGAATTCCTCCGTTGTGACGAGCTTTTTCGTCAGTTACTTGCAACTTCTGTAGAATACCTAAACACATATTCACTTTCGACGCGTATAAATCATTATCTTCAAGAAACTGAAGAATACCTTCTAGCCATTGAATTGCTAACCCACAATTGGCAGCCAGAAACTTTAATGCTTGTTCTAGCTGTTTAACAACTAAGAGGTATGCGTAAAGATTTGAACATGGGCGGTCTGATAAGATTGCTTTCTCAAGCTCTTCAATGGCATTGCAGATCTTTAGAACTGCCATGGCAGGGCTGATGGCACAGTCAATTTGCTCTTTGATACCAATATTTGGTCTAGTTGCAATTCCAAGAGATTGTGGTAATCTTTGATTCATCTCCTCTAATCTTTGCTCAGTTTTTTGCAGAGCAGAGGAAATAGCTCTTGAGCTGTCTAAACTTGCCTTGAGTAACATTTTAGTAGCGATAAGTTTATCAATGGCATTCACTTCAGTTTCAGCCATTGTCAGACATGCAAGCTCTAGTCTAACTACTACTGATTCAATTATATATATATATATATATATACTTGAGCTGTCTAAACTTGCCTTGAGTTAACATTTTAAGTAAGCGATAAGTTTATCATGGCATTCATTCAGTTTCAAGCCATTTGTCAGACCATGAAGCTCCTAGTCCTAACTACTACTGGATTCATTATTATATATATATATATATATATATATATAGGTAAATTTTTTTGATTTGCTTTATTTATATAGGTAAATTTTGATTTGCTTATTTCTTGTGTGTCACTCATTTTAGTTTTCTTCACCGAACTCAACAAATTCAAGTACAGAGAGATGAGTAAACCACATTCAAACCAAACCTCACTTGCAATACAAACATCTCAGACAGCCTCATCAACCACCATAAGTTACTCCTTTTGTCGTTACGGGCTTTTGGAACACTCCATTTAAAACAGAACTACATGCAAGAGTCTCTATCTACCATAACTGATCATAGCCACTCCTATTAAAGCTCTTTTTTTTTTTTTTTTCTTTTAATTCAATTGATTACTGCAATTGCCAAAAACAGCTAATTAAAGCTCTATTTATTTCTGTAAAAGAATTGTAGGAAAATATTTTTCACAATTTTCTGTTGTTTGGACCGTTTAAAAAAATAATTAAAAAAATATTTTTCTAGTGAAAGAAAAATTGAGTCATTTTTAAGGAAAATGACTTCCTATTTTCAAGAAAAGAAAATATTTTTTGGATATTGAAAAACTTATTATAACCTTATAAATTCATATTTTATTTATTTATTAATTAATCATTAGTAGCCATTATTACTCGTTACCATTTACTAGCTACCACTATAGGTCACCGGCCATCAACAGCCACCAGTACCATTCAACAACAATTTTTCATAATTTATCATATTTTTGAATTTTTCTCATTTGACAATAAAATTTTTAATACTAAATTTCTATTATTATTTATATTTTTATGGTCTTATGAGTTCAAGATTTTAATATTTTTTAACTAATTTTCAATATTGTAATCAAACAACGGAAAATAAGTCATTTGGAAAAATATTTTTCTTGAAAAATATTTTTCCTTCAAAAATTTTTTCTAAAGGTATGTTATTTCTAGAACCAAATGGAACCTAATTTTATTTCGTTGGAGTTAATTGAATTGTTTAACTTTGTCAATTTGGTTAATTAAGTCATTCATTTAATTTTTGGTAGTTTACCTAATTTGCAAAGTTAGAAAACTTAATTGGCTCAAATTGAAATTCCAATACTAAATTGATAATATAATATAGTAAGTGCAGATTTTAATTTGAGTTTTTCTTATTGTAATTAATATGAAAATTACATTAATTTTTTTAATTATGAATTTGAATAAAATTGATACTATAATTTCAAAATTGATTTATGATGGATAAAAAAAAGGGTAGGATACAATTAAAAATGAAAAAAAAATGAAAATTATTTAAAAGCAAGATAGGCACACGAAGACATAGCCTAATGGTTAATATATTTACGAACTGACAATAAATCTAGATTTGAATTCTCTTTTCCTAGTACTAAAAAAAAAAAAAAAAAAAAAAAAAAAAAAAAGAGAGCAAGATAAGATGAATTTGCTTGATTGAAAACATACTGAGCCTTATACTGAACGTTCGCATTTTTTAGGATATTTAAAAAAAAAAAAAAAAAAAAAAGAGAGCAAGATAAGATGAATTTGCTTGATTGATAAACATACTGAGCCTTATACTGACGTTCCATTTTTAGGATATTTTGGAGCGCAACCTGGAAGTGACGCTCTACCACCAAGTCCCTTGTTGCCGAATTTTAGCTAATTTTAGATTTTGCCGTTGTGCCGTGAATAGCTTTTAAGGTAGCGTTTAGTTACAGCTACTAGAATAGGAGTTAAATAAGTCGAGTTCAAATCTTTTAAGCTTGAAGTTCGGTTCAATAGAATGTAGCTTGATTCGAAATTCAATAAGTCTGAAAATTTGTTTGGATTTGACTCGATGAAAGCACGAGTTTGACTCGAGCTCCACTTTAGACTGAAGTCCAACTTAAAAATTTTTAAGCTTGAGGTTTGAAATTAAAATAACCTAATATATATATATATATATATAAAAGCTCGATAAGGCTGGACGAACTTTCGAGCTGAACATAGTTAGACTTGTGCTTAGCTCGATTGCTAAACGATCAAGCTCGAACTCGGACTCAAGCTTGATTTGATCCGAATTTTTTTGAACTTTTTTCGAGATGAGTTTGAACAGCTATGAGCCGGCTCGGTTCATTTACAACCTTAACTAGTACAATTAATAACTATTATAATAGTTAATTTTACCGATTATATCCCTTCAAACAGACAGAACAAATTCAGCGGATGGCACAGAACAGAGCCCATATGGGACACACAAGTCCCTTAATCCTATGGTAAATACCGTTTCTCATAAGTCCCCCACGGTAGGTGAATCGACCACGAACTGAGCCAGCAGTGTCCAGCGTTTGGAGGTGTCCACGTGATCCACTTTATCATTTTTGTGGACTTCATCATGGTTGGCCCGTGCATAGGGTAGTGTGCTCTGCTTTGATCAGAAACCAATTATAACAAGTTATGTTGGAACTACACGAAGAAAACCGTGATGTTCATTATTATAATGATGAGATTATTATTAATTACATATAATATTATTCTTAAATCATTTCTAAACACTGACTGGATCATTTAGATAATAACTTATGTTATATTGTTTTCATGATGAAAAAAAATAGGTAATTGCATAAATTAAAAAGTGTGCTAACACTTAAACAAACATATGGATACTTGTTAGATAACTATTAACTTGCTTGAAAGAATTTCTTTAGAATATTCCTTGTATATATATAGGAAAAATAATTTGAAACCCTAAGATTTTTAAGGCATTTTTTTTGCAAGGGGATTTTAATTGCTTTTATGCTTTGATTATCTTAGCTCATTTCAGACATGGTTTGAGCACATTTTTAATGTTGGAACGATGATAAAAGGTATTTAGATGGACCTGAAGCATTTTTCCATATAGGAGTAAAATGGCATTTTTATGCATATGAAATTCAGAGTTTATATTAGATATTACCTTTATCCCATAATACTTATCACATTTGAGAAAATAATTTATTCCAAAATACTTGTCACATTTGTGATTCCAATGAGTAATATTTTTTTTTCATGTTTACCCTTTATACATAACCAATAATTATTGCTTCAATTCTTCAAAAAAAAAAAAAAAAGTGAGAACTGAAGATTCTAAAATTTAATTTGATGTTTAATATATTAATAATTTATTGTAGAGAAAATTATTTTCAGGTCCCTGAGGTTTTACAATTTGCCCATTTCTTTCCTTATTTACCCCCAAATCAACATGAACTCCCTCCCAACTTTCTATACAAGGTCACACATGTAGCAGAGAGAATTTTGGTGTATTTAATGAGGGATTAAAGAAAAACTAAAAATGGAAAGTTCAAAGTGATTGAAAACATATTTGGTAGTAAAAATCAAAAATTTCGAAAATTAAATTTGGCTCCAAAACTAATTTGAAGTTGTCATTGAAAATTTAGGCGCAATTTTTTCGCGTTTGGAGCAAACTTTTATTTTTTGAAGAATAAAGAGTCTCTTCAAATTTCATAAACTTGCCTTATATAAAAGGACAATATCTCACAACTGAAACGAATCTATCTAGAGATTCAATATGAACTTACCAAATCATTTGATCTTAACCTGGTCCCAGTAAACTCGCATGCAACTGAAGAAGATATACCCATATTTAGAAACTTGTTCATACATCTTAAATCTGCTCCCAATGAAGAAGACACGATTTTGCAGATAATCCGATTGTTCAACCATCAAATGGTGTTTCGCAAACGATAAGAAGAGGAAACAAGTGAAAAAAATATTCTCAAGAAGTAAAAAATTATGTTAATAAAATATTGCTTGTTGACATGGAAAAGGGTGTGGAATATGCACGCAGTATTGAACAAGTTGCAGAAACTTTTTCTATTTCTATGAAGTCAGTCTACAAAATTTAGTGTAATGCTAAGGATGAGTCAGAAGATACTGTTGGAGTGAAATGTCCTTGGATAGAGGTAAGAAACAAGTTGAAATCCCTTCTGAAAGGATAAAACAAATCCCTCTAAGAAGAACCACCAGTCGTTCTCTTTCTCATGAACTAGGCCATTCACTATCATATGTGCACAGACTCATAAAAAAAGGGGTAAAATCAGAGCACAATCTAATGCAATCAAGCCACTTCTGAAGGATGAGAACAAAAGCAACAGAGTTCAATTTTGCCTTTCGATGCTCAATGCAGATACAATTAACAATAAAATTTCATTCCTCAACATGGAAAATGTTAGTCACATTGATGAAAAATGGTTTTACATCTGCAAGAAGACACAAAAATTTTATCTTGCAAATGATGAGGATGAGCCTTTGCGTAAATGCAAAAGCACGCGCTTCATTCCTAAAATTATTTTTGTAGCAGTAATTGCAGTAATTGCTAGAGCTAAGTTTGACACAAATGGACAACTCATTTTGATGGTAAAATTGGGATTTGGCCTTTTATTAACAAACAGCTAGCTAGAAGGAATAGTAAAAATGGATAGCAGGAATAGTGGAAACAAAGCCAATCATGTCAATCATGAAAGACGTAATCAAAGACATCTTAATTGGCAAGATGTTGCCTGCAATCAAAGAAAAATGACCACAAATGGGTTTAAACACTATTTTAATCCAACAAGACAATGCCAAGCCATATATAAATGTGGCAGATGTTGAATTTGCACATGCAGCATTTCAATTAGGTCTAAACATAAATTTACTTTTCCAACCACCAAATAGCCTTGATTTAAATGTTCTAGACCTTGATTTTTTTCGAGCTATTAACTCAATCAAACACAGAGAGGCTCATACAACCATTGACCAGTTACTAGATGCAGTTACAAAAGCTTATGATATTTTCCCTCCACTTAAAATGAATAAGGTTTTTCTAACT